AATGTCATATAATGTTCAGTAGCTGGATCACGGAATGTGCCTAAAAACAACATAAGATTCGTTTTTATTTTTAAAAGAAAGAGAGAGATTAACTTAATTGAAATTAATACTCAAATCGAAACAAAAATTGAAGTTATCTTACTCAAGTGATCAATTACTTTTGAACCTATACACGATATGCATTATATAGACAAGGAATATTCTGAAAAGAGTTCAAGCCTGTGGCAAGATACTGCATGTTTACGATGTTTTTTTTTAATATAATGCCGTTATCTCCGTTAGAAACAATAATTTCTGAATTTCTATTCAAGACTTCGTATATCAACAGATCTTTTCATTGTATTTATTCTAAGACAGATCTATAGGTAAAAGCGTATCGTTTACGTCGCTCATATTCATCACAAATTCGATATTCTCATATCACAATTCAATCGATAGGCTCTAGTGAGTAGGTAACAGACCTCGAAACGAGTCACCCGGTTCGGCTCGACGATTTCATCCTTTTTTGACATAACTTTTTCTGAGATTTGGCTCATCCCTGAAGGGGAAGCTTCTCCACGCTACTCCTCCTTGATCAGTACGTTTTATAAAATCCGATGAAGGCGGAATAGTCTTCTATTGAGAAAAAAAATCTTTGTAAACGAAATTTCTTTCTGGCCCGGGCCAGGCCATAAAAAAAAGTGGCCCGATTTCGAAGTCTGGTAGGCAGATACCTTAGAGTCGTTTGATCTGCTGAGCCTTTGTTACTGCATTTTCGAATTTATAGTGAATTTTTCCTGTAGAACTCGAATATGAATTTTTCAAAATATCCATGTATCATGGCAAAGTACCTATATTTTAAAAAATTCATATCTTAAAAATATATGGTCAAAATTCAAAAGCTTGAAAACTCGAGTTCTATAGGAAAAAAACTCACTAAAATTTCGAAATCTTAGTAATAAAGGCTAATCCTCTCTAGAATATTTATTTACTCATTAAACTCTATTGATTAAATATAATTTCATCTTAAAAATGATTTATTATTTGAAAAATTTTCTCTCATTAGTCTTTGTAAGACAAGAATTTTTTTTGATAATAAAATTTTATTTCTACCTGTTTCAGGTACATAAAAACCAAGTCGAATAGCATTTTGCATTGATAAACCTAATGGTTTTCGTTCGACATGTTCACTTATTTCAGCTTGTATTAAATTTCTATTAACAGCTTCTTGAATAGACATTGTTTCACCTGTTGAAAAATCTGTATAAGTTTTAGCTTCTGTATCAATCATTTGATTTCTAACAGCAACAGCACCTGATTCCAATCGACCTAAGACATTATTTTGTACACCATGAATTTTATATAATGTTATACGTTTTTCTGTTATTGTATCAGTTATTAATTCTAAATCATATTCTTCAAATTTCTTTTGACTAACAAGTTCAACATCAAGTAATTTTCTTTCAATAGCTTTATCTTAAAAGAAAAAAGAAACATTTTATATTAATATGACAAAATTTTTCTTTACCAAGTGGAATTTTAACACCATATTTACGATCATTATAAACACCTTGTGCATAATTAAGTATACCAACAGCTTGTGCTTCTAATCCACCAATTTTTTCTTGTGAATCACTATCAACTGCAACACTTTTAACAATAAATTTTTTAACAATTTCTTGTAATGATGATGTCATCATTTCTGTATCTTCTTTTGTTTCAATTATTGTTGCATAAACTAAACCTTCATTTATAGCTTCAGCTAATTCATATTGAACATTTGTAACTAAATCTCGATAACTACCTATAAACAGAAAAAAAAAACAAGAAGATTATTTAGATATTTTTTTATTGAAGCAATACAAAACAAAAAATAATAATAAATTTCATTTCTTTTTTCGTAAAAGCGAAATAAAAAAAAAATACGGTGCTTACATCACCCAATGCACGCGCATATTGACATGCATATAAATTTAAAAAAAAAAATAAAATATATCTGATTGATCTGATTTTGTTTTTTTTTTTGCTATCGTTAGTATGATCGATAAAGGTGAAAAGGAAAAAAATATCTTTTGGTTGTGCATGGAAAAATATAAAAAAAAAACACGGAACAAATTTCAAATTAAATAGTTACATTTCGATTTTTTTTTGTTCAATTTATTTTGAAAGATTTTTCTAATTACAAGAGGGAAGGTTCCCGAATGTGATTCGCCAAGTGAATTAATATAAGGCTCCGATGAGACTAGTAGATACTTAGAAGAGTTCGTTCTTATGCGCGCTGTTCTTATAGTTTTATTATCTATGGAAAGCGCATAAGAACGAAATCCTTATAGGCTTCTACTAGTGTCTTCGGGATCTATCTAAGTCCGTCATAAAATATAAAACAAAATCGACTGTATATTATTGAAATAATTGTTCCGTGTTTTATGGATATAGGGAACTTAATAATGACACCTTTTTCATATCAATTGGTGTCTGTGTGTGTATACGTGCAATTTTCTACACGTTTAAGTGCATTCTTTACTTTTGTTTATAATATTATAAACAAAAGAAAGAAGAATAATAACAATCACCAGAAATGATCTTTTTTTTTTTTATTCTTTAAATAATAAAAATCCCATAATACTCTGATATCGAGTTTGTTGATTTTTTTTTTTTATCTTGTCAAATGGGATGTGCAATATATGTAAGTTTTATTATCATATTAAAGCAATAAAAAATAAAATAAAATAAAATGCGATAACCTACTGATTTCCATATTGATTTTTCGTACTATTATTTATAATCAAATAAAAAATCTTTTTTGTTTTTTTTTTTTTTGATATTCTTTTTATTTTATTCCTTACCTGTTTCTTTATCAAGTATACCCAAATCAATAGCTTCCGATACTTTAATTTCTTTTTGTGTTAATGGATGTATAACTGATGTAATGACGTATGTAGCTGTTTTTGTTGCTATTGTTAATTCATCTTCATCAACAGATATTATTGATGGAGGTTTAATACTATTATCAGATGATGATTCATCATCTGAACAACGTATATAACCAGCTTGTATAGCATCATATATTGTCATCACATCATTTGTATCAAGTTTACGATATTCATTTAATTGTATATCTAATATGCCTTGTCGTAAAGCATCACGTGGTAAAATTTTTTTCATATGAACAGTATCATAAACCCATTTAATATTATATGGTTGTCCATTAATTGTTACTATTAATGAATCACTCATTGGACCATATTCAGTTGCACCAACAAATTTTAAATGTATTGCTTCATGTAATGATACTTGTGAATTATTATATGGATTAATATAACGACCATATTTTGAATCTAAAATATTTTTAGCTATAGCTTGTCGAGGAAATATACGACGTTTTGTTGATGAATCTAATACCCAATGTATCATATAATCAATACCATCAACACGTATTGGTAATGATGCTGTATCTGGTTCAATACCCATATAACCTAAATCAACAGCTTTTTCAAATGAATATGATTGACGATTTAATTTTTCATCAAAAAATAAACGTTGTTTAATGTCAACTAAACCACGTTGATATGCATTTTGTAATGGTAAACGATCACCTGTAGCTGTATTCATAACCCAAACAACACGATATGGTTTATCTTTTTTCATCATTATACAATGCCATTGCTCCCATTCTTCTTCACTCCATGATTGTTGTTGGTCTTCATGCCAATCATCAGGACGTGATGGTTTAATACGCTCTGTTTCGATTTCAACATATTCTTTTCGTGTTGTTGTTGTTGATGGATATGGACGTGGTGGAGGAATTGGAGGTTGAGGACGTGATGGTTGACCACCATAATACTAGAAGAAAAACAAAACAAAAAAGAAATTATAGGTTTCAATTTTGTTTAATATTTAATAAAATTCTTTTTTTCTTTTCTATTAAACTCGATAATAATAATAAAAAAAGATAAATCTCTGATTTACCTCATGTTCACGAATTTCTTCGTTAAAATAAACTTCAGTTTTTGGCGGTGGTGGCGGTGGTCTAGGTTGTTCACCTTGAATATTAATTTCTTTATGAATATATTGTCTATCTTCTTGAATATCAACTGTTCGTGGTTGAGGTCTACTTCTATCATCAATAATAACTTCTTCAATATATCGTTGTTTTGGTCTTTCACTTGAACGTGCTCGATTAACATAAACTTCTTGATCAACAACATTTGTTGTTTGTTCAACAACTTCTTCTGTTGTTCTATGATGATGTCGTCGTCGTGGTACACGTTGTACAGATTCAATTTCGATAATATCTTGTTCACGTTGTACAAGTTGTGATGATGCTGTTGTTGGACGTATTGCTTGTGGTTGAGATTCAATATGTATTGAAAAATTTGAACGTGTATGATCAGTTATTTGTGTTACTACAGATTGAACTTGTATAAGACCACGTTTAATAGCATCACCAATAGTTATTTCATCATTTGTTATTGGATGTATATAAACACCTTTTCTACGATCAAATATTCTGTGTTCAATAGCTAAAAAAAAATCAAAATAAGCATATTAAAAAAGACAAAAACAAAAAAGAAAAAATTGTGTTAACTACCTTCTTGAAGACTATAAATTTTATCTGTACGAGCATCAATTATATCCGTTATTAAATAAGATGTTTGATGACGTTGATCATTTATAAATGATGATGGTCTTTGTTCACTAAATTTACCTATAATTAAACCTTGTTCATATGCTTCCATAACAGGTATTTGTCGTTGTTTTATTGGATGATTATAAATAGTTACATTTGTATTAAGTAAACCTGTTTGTATAGCTTCTGTTATACCTAAACGACGATTTGTTATTGGATCAATAATATGATCAATAATAAAATATTTTATATAATGTTTTGAATGTTGATCAATTAATTCCGTAAATATTAAACCTTTTTCAATAGCAATACTTATTGGAAGATTTTCACCTGTTAAACTATTCACATAAAAACCTCTAGCATGATCAATAATTCCTTCATCAATAGCTAAAATATAGACAAAAAAAAAAAGATTATAGAAAAATTTCGCTTTTTTTTTTTTTGTTTTGTTTATACCTTGTCGTATTGGTATTTCTTTACGTGTTCGTGGATGTATAGCACTTTTAAGTGTATAAGTTTTTGTTTCTTTAACTGTTCCACGTTTAACATTTGATGTTCCAATTGTTTCTTGTGTATTTGTTGTTGTTGTTGATGATGATGATTCAACAGGTAATGGTTGTGCACGTATATGTCCTTGTGCAATAGCTTCAGATATTGAAAATATTTCATTTGTTTTTCTATTAATATATTGTCCATTTTGTTTATCTAATATACCTAAACGTATAGCTTCTTGTACAGATAATTCTTTATTATTAATATAATCACGAACACCTAATAAATGATATGAACGTGTTTCACGTATTAATGATGTTGATATAACATATTTATCACTTGGTTGATTTGAATGTGTATGTGATGATTGTTGTTCAACAATAATTAAATTTCTATTCATAGCATCATCAATTGATATAGCTTCTTGTGTTATATTATTTAAATATAAGCCATGATATGGATCAAGAATTTTTTTCTTTATTGCTGTATTTGGATCAATATATGTATTTAAACGATGATCAAATACACTTGATATAACAAGTGATTCAGTTTTTGATATTATATTATATGATTGTGGATCACCTACTTTAAGTATACCCATTTTAAGTGCATCAGCTAATGTTAATCGTTGATTTTTAACACGATCAATAATATGATGATCGTTAAAATTTATTAAACCACGAGAATAAGCTTCACGTAAATCGTAATTACTAGAATAATGGAAATAAAAATCTTTTTTTTTTCTTTTTCAATGATTTATTTGTTTTTCCTTCTGTTGATTATTACAAACAAACAAAAGACAATGATATTGGATTTAGTCGTTTCAATGTATGTCAGACTGAATTCATTGTCATTCAGTTGATATACAAAAAAGAAAAGGTAATTTTAGCAAGGTGAAATGACATCAAACTACTGTTTTATATATATATATATATATATATATTTATATATCTTAGATAAAGAATAAATCAACACACTTTAGAAAAATCCTATTAATTTTCGTGAATATAAAAGAATGTATATATATAGAGTAACTTTAATTAGTTATTTTTTTTTGTGTCTTCTGACCGCAAAATATATATATATATATATATATATATATATATATTCATTGAAGAAAAAAATCAGAAGGTTTTTCTTCCTTTGTATAAACAAAACAATATCAGTGAAAAGAAAACCCTGGTTTTTTTTTTTCGTTTTCTTTCATTTGTTTTGCTTACCGTCGTTCAAGCGTATCGACAACGTATGCGCTATGTGCGTCGAGAATATTTGTGTCGATGGCCTCTTTCAATGTAATTGTCTTTGTTGTATTAATCGAGTCTGTACCAATATGAGAAGGATGATTATTCACCGACGATGTAGGAAAATTTTTGTTGTCGGTTGTAATAGTCGTACGTGGCGGCGATGATGAAGACGAGGAGAAATGAGTGTAAGTATGGTGATGGTGGTCGGGCGATAATATTGTAGAGGAAGAAAAAGGAGATGAAGAAAGAACGAATGGTAAAGGAAAAGAAAAAAGACCCGTTGACAAATCAAGATGTTTGCTATTGACCGCATCAACAAATGAGAGATTTTTGCGTTGTGCCATATCATTCAATTTTGTATTTGTTATTAAAATATTACCATTCGTTGTTGATATACCTGGTTGTTTTTGTATAATAAATCTTACTTTCTTATTATTTAATGTATCAGTTTGTGTTGTTGGTATTACATAACTTGATTCTAATGAAACTGAACCGTCTAATGATGATGATGATAATGGATATGAATGGCGATCAGTACTAACCTTTCCACGTGTCAAGTCAACAAAACCTAAGCAACAAAAAAAAAAAGATACAACAGCTTGTATGACGTCATCATGAATCTATAGATATATTTGTATAAAGTATGGAAAGAAAAAAGTATATTGGATGTTTGTTCTTCACTTCAATTTTTTTACCCTGTAGACATCTATGTTCTATTCAAAAAAAAATATAGACAGCTAAGATATAAATAGATGACGTAAAAACAAAATATATAAGTATAGAAATATTAGACAATAGAAGAACCTCCAGGAAAAATATAAATTAAGAATATACTCAAACTTCGATTTATTCTATATTCTTATCAATACTCTCTTCATATATATATATATACACTCATATAAATGCATTCTCTATCATTCTTTCTCTCTCTCTTCGTCATATGAAATGACTAAACTATCTGGCTCAGCGCCACTCACAACACGACAAACGAAGAGAAAAGAGATTAGATCTTCGTTAATATCGTGATAGTACATCTATCTCATTATAGACCTTGGCTCATCTATATATGTATATACACACATACATGCATATGTATATATACATATATATGTATGTATGCGTGTGTGTGCGTGCGTGTGTGCGACGATGCTTATGATACGACAATAGGTGAGAGGTTGTAGTTTGACGATATAGCAGCAGTCATATAGCACTTTTCTCTCTTTTCTATACTTTCAACGTCAAGCAACCGTGACCAGCAATGAAAAGAAAAGAACAATAATTAGTCGAAAAAAACGAATACATTATATCGTCTAGTTCATCTATTATTAAAATTTCATTCAACGTTTATCATAAGTTTTTTTTTTTTTCCTTTTGTGTGTGTATCATATATTCTCTTATTGCTAAAGAGAAAGAAATCTATTTTGTTGTCCTATGCATTTACGTTAACATACACACAAAGAAAAAAGGAAGAAGATGAAGTAGAAGAAAACAACCACGGCTGTCACACGTTGCAAGATAAATTGAAGTGATAATGATTGCTTGATAGAAAAAAAAAATGTATAGTCGATTTCTGATGTGCAATCAACAAGCAGAAAAATAAATGAAACATTCTCATCATCAGCTGTTCTTTATTGAGAATGTCTTTCGTTATAAACAAATATGGAATGATATTAAATGTGAATATTATTGTCAACGAGAAGAAAAAAAGCCTATTCCTATTCATACATTAATATTCTCCTTTGTTAATTTGATATCATCGATTGATCAATATCTTTTCTTTACATAGGATGTTGGATTAAATGAATGATTGGAGAAAAGTTCATCGATATATCTCATTCTATTACACCTGAAATCGAACAAAAAAAAATAAAATAAAGAAAAGGACGATTGTAATAGAGTCTAACACCATTGATATTATTTGACCTTCTTTGGGTGTATTCGATCATAAAAATGAACGATAAAATAAAAAAAGAAAAAGAACTAAAGAGTATGAGAACGTGTATACTTGTCACTATTGACCTTGTCCAAACGAGAGAAGAATGTTTTATGTTAACTATTTCCTACAATTATTCTGTCTCATCAAACTTATATGTTTTTATGGGTTAATATAAAGTAGATATTCTTATCATGAATACAAAAGAGAGAATATTTGTCATCGCAAATATAATATTAAATGATTAGGAAAAGTATTATCAATTTCAGTTGTTAACAGTTTTATCTGTATTACCTGTTTTATTATTTTTATGTCGATTCCGTTTCGTAGATGAAGATGAATGTGGCGATTGTTCATCATCATCATCATCATCATCATCATCATCATCTGATGAAAGAAGAAATTGTAATGTGATGTTATATCGAGATACGATTGTACTACGATAAAGATGAACAATAGTTGATGCTGAATCTAATGGAAGATTAATTGTCTAAAACATAGGGAATAATAAATCATAGAAAGAAAAAAGTATTCAAATTGAGATTTTTTGTGTTTTTAATTACCTGTCCAGTTGTATTATAATTCTTTACAAATGCTCGTGCATATTCTTCCATAGTTGCCAAAAGATCAGCATAACGTCTATGAACAAATTTTATTTTTTTTATTTTAAATTTTGTCTAAATCAACAATACAAAAATTCTAACATTTACCTATCAAATACTTCAATTTTATGTAAAATCGCTCGTGTAGCACGTTGAATATTTGTTGGATATTGTCGTCGTACAATAGAAACCGATGCATCAAGACTTGGATGTATATCGCGTAATGATACACGAAAGCGTTTTAAATTTTTGTCATGCATCTACATGATGATTGTGGCATAACAGAATATTTATCAAAATAAAAAAAAACGTATAAAACTACTAATTCTATACGTGCATAAAGCATTTATTTCATCATGCTCAAGCAACAAATTAAACTATACAAGCAAACAAACTGAACCTACGCTCATCTTTTTTTTTTTCTTTTTTTAATTTAAGTTTTATAGAACTTTATGCAAGAATAGATGAAGATAATTGATAATATTACCTTTGCTTCTTCAATAAATTTCACAGCAACATCATTCATATGTTCAATTGATTGTGCTCGAGAAAGAATTTCATTGAAAAGATCCTAAATTTGTTTCACAAAATATAATAGAAATAAAGTTTTTTGTTTTTTTTTTTGTATACTGTAACAGTTTTTCCCGATTGTCGAAGTTTATTAGGATCATTTGATACTGGTTCAAGTGTTTCAATACGTTGTTGTAAATTATCAAGTATGCGTTCTTCTTGTTGATGTAATGTTTCAAATGATCGATGAGTTTCCATACATTGTGTAATCGATCGTTTTCTATAATAATAGAATTAACGAAAAAAAAAAAGAAAACTATGAAATGAAAACTTAAGAAAAAGAAAAATCTAATAGAAAAACCGTTGATTAATTTCAGAATTCATTTGTTGCCATCTTGATGTTAATTGCTCACTTATGCGAATTAATTTATCATTACCCAATTGTTTACTTTGTATGAGAAGTTCTTTAATCGACTTCTCAATTGACTGTAATTGTTTTTCAAGTTCATTAAGATCATCGAATTGACGATGAATATAATTTTCATCGTCAATAAGAGGTGTATGTGAGGCTAAACGAGTTTCAAGTTCAATTATATGAGATGTTAAATCAGTAACGAGATTTAATGTTGTTTCAGCAATATCCAATCTATGAAAGCAAAAACAAAATAATACAATCAAGAATTGTTATTATAATTGAAAATATTTTACTTGTCAGAATAATCTTTTGATATTGTAAATAAATCTTGTGCATAATCAGATGTTTGATTAACTAATGAACGTAATTCTTGATGTGACGATGAGTTATATTCCTGTCGAACTTTATTACGGATATCTTTAATACGACTTGCTTGAGAAAGAAGATCATTTTCAAAATCCTAAAACAAAAAAAAAAAAAAGATGAAAATAATTTTGTTTGCTTAATAAAAATCAATCAGTTAAAATTCATTCCTCTTTTTGAATCACTCGTGTCATAATTGGTTTAAATTTTGCATATGTATCAAGTGGAATATGTGTTATTTTTGTATGAATTATTAATGGTGATGGTTGTTTTACAGTTAATGATGGTGGCTGTTTTACATTTGATGGTGGCTGTTTTACATTTGATGGTGGAAGTGATTGATGACGAATAATTAATGTACTTGAATGATTATTTCTATTTAATTGATCACTTGAAGAGCCTCGAGATATTGATGGAACTTCAAGATATCTTCTATTCGATTGGCGTCGTTGATTATTTAATGTTGAATTTGAATATTGAATATTATTATTATTCAATACTGGACATGAACCATAACGTTGATGTTCTTTTCTATCATAATATTCATGTTCTTCTGTGCGTTGGTAAGAATGTTCATGTTGATAATAATGATGATGATGGTGATGGTGATGATGTGCACGTGGCTTTATAAAATGAATACGTACATAGATACCATGTTTATCAGCAGTAACCGTTGCAGGTTCTTCTATGATTCGATCTACGGATGAATAACGTACGGGTAAAATTCGATAATTTGCACTACTAGCAGTGCTGGAAGAACAAAAACTACTAATTGAAGATGTTCGTCGCCGATGGGGATTTATATTGGATGAGTAATAATCTTTATTTCTATTAAAAACAAGTTCAATAGGTACAGATCGTTCTTTTGTTCTTGATGATCTAGGATACTGTGGATAATCGTCAGAGGTTATAGAAGATGATCGTGGCATTTCTGACTTTTAATAATAAAATTATCTAATGAATACAATCGTTAATATACATTTGAGTAAAAGATATACACACAGAAGTTCTAACAGTAATTGAAGTAAGACACCAACAAAGATCGACAGAACTTATGGTATACTGCTGTTATTATTGTTTGTTGAATATCCACAACTGGCAGTAATGTTACCGTTTACATGAATGATATATGCGTATTCTTGAGTAGTTTCTTGTTGTTGACAATATCTTGTGTGTGTCTATATTTTTTTCTTTATCTTTGTATTTTTCATCGATATTTTTTTCTAAGACATTTGTATACATAAATAATATGCATACATCAGAAAAGGAAGAAAAAAATCTCATCGTATAATTATATACGAAGAACAAACAAGTGGAGTTTTATTAATGACCTAGTTCTTTTTTTTTTTATCGTTTTCAAATGAATATAGCTGATTGTATTTTTATTATCTCATAATTATTCTATTGACAGAAGGAGGCTTATCATCAATAGTTAACACTATAATCTATCTTTAAAATAGATTTTGAATAATCAACATAGAAAAAAAAAAAAGAAAAGATGAGACTTAATTTAGAAAAATCTAATCAAAATCAAATCAAATCTAATCTAACCTTTTGTTCTTGATAAAGTAGAAGAAGATCATCATGTGATGTTGGTAAACCAGTTTGTAATAAACGTGTTATACGTTGTTGAAGTAATTGACTAAGTGTATTTAAATTATTATTAATTAAATTAAGTTCATCAACGAGAACAAATGATTTTGTCTCGTTGGTTAAATGTCCTGAATCTATAAAAACAAAATATAATGTAAATAAAATTCCATATATATACATGAATAATCAATAACTAACCAACAACCATAGTATTTGATCGCGATTGTTGTTGTTGTTGTTGTTGTTGTTGAGTATCACCACTTCGTCTATAATCACCTGTTACAATAACATCAAGTTGTTCAATACCAGTTGATGAATTTGTAAAAAAATTCGATAATTGATTTGAACGATCCTTATAAAGATGATTTATTTAATAATTAATATATTAAGAATACAAAAAAAAAAAACAAAAAAATGAATTCAAAATATCTCATATCTTACCAATTGTGAACTTCTTCTTTTTAGTTGATTAGAACTACTCATCGTCAATGAAAAACTATCGACATATATATAATTGAACGTACAATGTACAAACAAGAAGACAAATGTGCATACATACACATAAGAAAAAAAAAGTAAATTAATGATTTGTCACCTTTATTGTACATTATGTGTACACATATTCGATCTTCTTTCACGTACACTTCCATTAGGTATAGATGGTGTTCGATAAATTTTTTTCTTTTTTGCGTTTTACGCCTGTGCTCGAGTGAGTCTCAAGGATTGATTGAGGTCATTTTTAATAATTAATCGAAGGTAGTAGTGGAAAAAAAAATTAAACCAATGCACTGACATCATCATCATCATCACCTTACTTGGAGATATTCGACGTTTTGCTAATACTGCTCTTGTATTTTATTAGAGGTTACTTATTCAAATGGAAGATCTTCTTTTGTATAGTGATGTATTACGCAAAATGAATTTCCTCATTTTCTCTCACGTAAGGCACAATCGATATATATATTTATATATTGAGCAATTTGAAAGAGAAGAAAAAAAAAAAAGGCGAATAGTAAATGTTCAGATATTGAATGACAACGACAAATTGAATTGTAATGAGCGAATATTGTAGACGAAGAAAAATAACTGTCGGCTCTCATTTGTTTCTCATAAAAAAAAAAAAAGACAACATGCAGTAGTATGCGGATTGATGAAAAAAAAAGAATATACGACATTTATTCTCATCAATTAACGTGAAATATAGTGAAAGATCTGTTTGCATAACTCATCTTCTATATATATATATATGTATTATTCACCTGTTTTTTTGACGAATGATGATAACCATTACTTGTCGTTAACGATGATGGATCGAGAATTCGTGTTGTTGTTGGTGATGAAATTTTGAGAATTGTTGATGATGATGGTGGTGAAGGACTTAATTGTACATGAAGATTATCAATACGTAAATTTAATTGATCAATTCTAAAATGACAAAAAAAGAAATAAATAAATTTATCAAACTTCAAATGTTTTTTGTTTTTATACCTTTCAATAGCAGTTTGTATTTGTTCATAAGGTAATGCTAATGTTCGATAATTATTTAATATTGTATCTAAATTAATTTGTATATGATTTAATTGATTAATTGTATCAACAATTTCTAATTGTTTTGACTAAAATAATAATAAATTAATAAAACATCAAAAAAGAATTTTCACAAACTTTTATTTGAATTAATCTTTCAATATTTGCTATATCACGTTCAATTAAATCTAAATCATTATTAATATTATCTTTTAATTTTTCATATTGTTGTAAAAATTGTTTTAAATCATATTCAACACGATCGATTGTCATTTCTAATTTATTCCATGCTAAATTTATTGAATTAATATCTGGTTCTAATGTTTCAGTTAATTGTGAAGTCTATACGAAGAAAAACAATTAAAAAAAATTTTTTTTTTTTTGTGAATTTTTACTTCAAATTCAGCATCAATTGATCTCATACGATGTAATACTTTATTATATTGATTCATTTCATCTTGTTTTATAGCTTGTAAAACACTTTGATATGTTTCAATTTCATCTATACTTTTAAATTTAATTTCACGATTTAAAAAATCTAATTTTATTTTTATCCATTTAAGAAGATCCGAAGCTAAATTTGTATATTCATATGATAATTCACTTTCAAGATGAATCTAAAGTATATATATATATACCAAAGTTCTATTGCAAAAAATCTATTCAAAATAACAAACTCGATCATGTTCTTGTTGAAATGGATGTGTAGGTAAAGTTGAACAAACTTTATATAAATGTGCAATATATAATAAAATACTTTTTTCATCAGGTTCATCAGTATCAACATCTGAATGGAGGAAAAAAAATTTTTTTTAAAGACTGTCAGATTAGGTTGAGAAACCAAATATATCATGTTATATAGTAAATCTTATTTTTACAAGATTTTAAATGATAGACATAGTCCTTGATATCAGTTGAAAATGTTTGTAACAGCATTTTTCATATATACAGTTTTGTAGGACTTTTCACAAGCTACAAGGTTATAACTTAATATCTTTGATTATTCTATCTTTGACAGGAAAAAAAATGCGATTTTTCAATATATCACCATTGTTTGTCATTAATCATGAGTCTCAATGTCTTGAATAATATCGATCATAAAAGATTTAACCGGATGCCAAATCTTTTATGGTCGATATTATTGAAGGCATGGAAACTCATCATTAGTGACAAACAATGATAAATCATTGAAAAATTGCATTGTTTTCATATTAAATATAGAATTATCTGAGACGTAAAGTATAAGCGTATATAAGAAAAATTTTTTTTACAAACACTTTCGATTGATACTAAGGATTACAATGATTAGTAACTGCTCATGGCTTGGATGCATAGTTGTCGGTCTTTTTGAAGTCTTATGAAAATCAGATTATATACATCATTTGATGCATTTCGGCTTACTCGACAAAATGATATATTTAGTTTCTCAATTCTGAATAGATCACGTAATCCGATAGGAAGATTTTTGTTCAATTGTTTTACCTTCAGGATCGATTAATTGCATAATACCATAATGTTTTTGTGCGAAATCAAAAGCTCGCATTAAATTTTCTCGATTAGAATTACTATAGGCTTCTTTTATGTTAATTAATTGTGGACTTGAATAAAATAAAAAAAAAGAAAGTTTAAAAAAAAATAGAATTTTTTTTGTCAAAACTAACTTATGTCGATGAAGTATGGCAAGAAATGCTCGTCCATTACGCCATGACCGTGTAAAATCATCAATATAAATTCCTGGATAACCTTGACATTGTTGACGAGCCCATATTAATAACATATTACGATAATTTGATGATATTTGATCAATTGATGATTTACGTTCTGTTGTAGAAGATATTGGAGGAATTTTATCTGGTTTTAATTCATTAGATGAAGGTAAATCAGTTGTTGGAATAGGCGCTATTGTTTGTTTAACATTTATTGGAATGTTTTCTTCAGATGATGGTATTGATATATCAGAAAACTAAAATAAAGATAACAATGTACATAATCTGCAAGCAATAGAATGTTTATGATTCTTGGATAGGCTTAAAAAAAATTCTCATACGATCTATAATATAATATATTGACTTCTAATCGTAAGAACTAAATGAGAAACATATTTTGTCTAAAAGAATATGTTAGGGTGCTGTTATACTTGTATTAAGTAAAAGAATTGAAGTTTATGTATTTTTCATCTGGTAGTGGAACTTCTTGCAACTACTATAATATCCGGAATTTAAAAATAAGAGAAGTTTAGATGAAATACAGTTAGTTTTCGAACTCATATTTTGCAGCGATACAAATCAAAAAAAAAATTCACTACTATCAATAATAAAAATCTGCATTTAAACGAAACATGCAAGCGTTTATGTTTGTTGAAATTTGATTTTCGACAGAAGAGTGTTTGATTTACTTTAATGGACTTATTATAAAATACGATCTTTATTATTTTTTTTTTTATTTTATCTTCATTAGGAAAAATTTATTTTTGTATTAATATCGATAGTGTCTTTGTAAATTATTTTGCAGTATTTCTTATGAATTAGACGATAATCAGTATTTTTTTTATTTCGAACTTAATATTTATAACAATTGTACTTCGCAAAATTTTTTTTTTATCAAATCAGATCAACAAACTTGTAAACAAATATCAGGAATTATAAATTCATTATTGATATAAATATACAAAAGAAATCTATAGACTAACTTATTTCTTTATTAAACTTACTTGAAAATGAAGGATTATACGCCAAATAAGACCTAATGTTAATTTAGGATTTCCATTAACTAATTCTTCTGGACGAATATTAACCAAACGAATCTATATAAACAAAAAAAAAAAAAATTATTATTAAATACAAAAATTTCTTTTTCTATTTACATTATGATGTTGTTCGAGACATTGAAGACACTGTTCAACATTTTGTAAAGCATGAAATTTTGATGTACCTCGTTCACGTGGCTAAATTATTATACAAAAAAAAAGAATGAATTTTTTATTTTTTATTTTTTTGAAAATTTACAATTGTTTGATTTGTAAATATTTCTAATAAAGATATAAGTAAATGTCCATCTCTTAAGTCAAGAAATAAATCATCAACATGTAATCCTTCACGTTTTGATAAATGAAAATTAATCCATTTAGTAAATGTTTTCTTTTGTACTGCATCACGTTGATCAGCTACTTTTAAAACACGTCGATCAGCTGGATCTAATGCAAAAACAGATATCGGTTTTTCTAATATCCAATCTTCATCATCAATTTCATTAAATATATTATTATTATTATTAATATTATCTTCATCATCGACCATCATCTCCATCTATATCTACAAAATATGAAAATATAACCTTGAATATAAAAAAAAAAAACAGTTGACACCAATCTAATCAAACGACTTTTTTTTTCATTTAATATTCATTAGTATTCATATCATCTATTGAAAATTTTTGATATTCAGAACATTATTTTCGTTTACTTACATCACCGATTTTTGTTTCTCTCTCTCTTCTGTTTGTCTCTTTTAATCGTATATGTACAATTTAACATGTCTCATTTTCAAGACAGACATTGTTAAAAAGAAAGAAAAAAAAAAGAATGTATAAGCTCTAAGGAGTATCGTTGGTGACTCCGTCAATCATTCATTCGTCTACGGCCGAATTCATTTAAAAGAGAGTTGTGCCAACCAAACCGAGAGGTGGCACTGGTACACACGTGTATATACATACATAGACCATATATAGTCATTATATATGTATATATGTATATATTCATATGTATCGACCAGACGAAAAAACAACTAGTACAAAGAGAAGCACTTAGACCAGTAGAGTGAATAATAAGAATTAAGCCAATAAGATCAGTCTGATTTCAATGTTGATAACAGGTTATTTTTTCTTATCGGTATAGGAGGATAGATTGATTCATAAAAAAAACACAAAAGTGACAGAATAAGTGTTGAAAACTGATGGCATATCATATTAATGAAAAGAAAAAAAAGAAACCATATTGGTATAAAATAAATATAATATACTCTGAAGATGATATGTTAACATTTTTAGTGTAAAGAAAATATTGAATTGGATATTTTTTTTTTCATTTTGAAAAATAGAAAGCTTCTTTTTTTTTTGTTACATGAACAGTAAGAAAATGAAGAGTAATAATAGAGATAGATTTCAAAGGATTCTATATTCGTTATTTTTTGATTATTATGTATAAAATCAATATTTGAATTCTTCTTCTATGATCTCTGTTTCGAAGAAGAAAAAACTGGAGATAATTAGCTATCTATTTTAATATAAAACGATCACTAAATAAACGAAAACCGTCTATGGAAGTTAATTTACTATTACAATATGAAATGATGAATTAACACAAAAGAATTAGTATTATGTTAAATATATGATTAGAAGTATTCTAAGAACTCTGTCGGATAAAATAATCACTCTTCATTTGAACAACCACATACACTATTTTCTAGAGCAACTCACAGCTCGCTGAATGACATATAGTAACTTACATTTTTATTATGATTCAACATTTTGAGAAGCTATATATGAGTTGAGTCATATTATAACATGTTATGACTGAACATCATGGCTTCGTATGGTCCGAAATCAAGTTGTGCATATTTAGTAATTCTCATAAAAGTTTTTTTTCATATCGAAAAACTTACTACTTGTAAATTTTCAGCCTTTATAATGTTCAAGTTTATTCAGCATAATTCCTCAGGGTGAAAGTGATCAAACATGAAATTTTTTTAGAAATCGTACATCATCGAGCTTGATAACAATATCAATTTATCGTTCTTTGAATTGCAGTGGATCATAAACAAATTTTGACATTTGTGAATCTTGTTGAAAATTACAGGGAAAAAAATTTTTTTTTATTTGCTTTCAAATCTCTGGAAGGAGAAATCAGAATAAGTTCTTAAAAAGATTAATTTTTATTCTATTTTTTTTTCTTCTCATTTATTAATACATACAAACTTTTTCATTTAAAAAGTATTTATCATCAAGTTTTGTATATTTTGCCGTACTTAGAAATCGAAAACTTAGGACTTCTTTAAACATTCATGTATCAATTTGACTATGGATCCACTGCAATTCAAAGAATGATAAATTGATATTTATAAACCTTGATGACGTACGATTTCGAAGAAAATTTCATGTTTGATCACTTTCACCCTAAAGAATTATACTGAGTAAACTTGAATATTATAAAAGCTGAAAATTTACAAGTGATAAGTTTTTTTATATGAAAAAAAAAAACTTTCGCGAGAAGTATTAAATATACACAACTTGATTTCGGACCATACGGAGCCATGATGTTCAGTCATAACATGACTTAACTGATATGTAGCTTTTCATAGCCTTGAAACTCAATGAACATGCAACTTTCTATAAACCATTCGACGCATCACGAGTTGCTCTAGAAAATGGCATATATAGCTTTTCAAATGAAGAGTGATAATTGTATCCGTCAGCGTCCTGTGCGAACTTGTTTATAAAGTAGAAAATAGATATTCTTTTTCTGGAAGAAATTTCTCGTACAAATATAAATATTTCTCAAAAAAACAACAAAAAAACCTTTAACAATCTACTTATTTCTAATGCTGATTTACCTTGATATTTCACGATGAAAAGGTCAGATGAATAAGAGTAACAAATAAAAAAACATGCTATTGATATAGATCAAATGATACAAATGTAACTTTTCAATGATCGAACGTGATGGAATGTAGAAAATCTTTCTATTTTTATCGATCTAATTCTAGAGAAATCTCTGTTTTTTTTGATACGATCAAAATTTTATGAAAAAATTAAGTTCGATTATTCGATACAATAACTTCCGACATTCTTTGAAAAAACAGATATATGTTTGTCAATATAAAAATTCTTTGTCGTCAATTCAACATCGCTAATTATGTTGTTTATATAGAATAATTATGAATTGATTTTTTTTTGCGTCTATTTATTAACACATTATACATGAATAACTAAATACAAAAGATTAAAACCTCGAATGTCAATTTAGACATTATGTGTTTTAGAAAAAAAAAAGAGCACAGTGTAAATTCCACGGCCTTGTGCTAAAATAAAACATCTCAAGAAGTTAAAAATTCATGCGTAGCATTGGTTATCAATCTCATTTTTAAAGATTGAGAGCAGTTAGAATCGAGTACAAATTCTTCATAGATCTTAACAATGAAGCAGGTAAGTACATGAAAAATCTACGATCAATACAAAGACAGCTTCCCTTAGCATGAAAAAAACATAAATTAGTTATTCCTTCACCCATTTAGCTAGCCTTAACATTAATGCTTAAAAAGCACATCCGAACGATTTTATGTAAGACAGCATCCATATGTGTTTCTAAATTTGTGTTAATTATACAATATTTAAGTTACGCAATCTAATACAAGATTCTAATACTACAATAAAAAACAACAATGGTTAGACTGACAACCAGAAAAGTTTCTTTCTCGAACGAGAAAACTCATCCAACTGATAATCTTCGTTTCAACTCATCATATAGCTAAAAATCCGTTAGAACTTTCTTCTTGCAGGTTATGCTCATTTTACTGAAGTTTCCGCCTATAAATTTCAACAAAAAGTTTCCGCCTGAAAAATAATAACTTACATGATATCCTGAAAATTTCTGCACAAACAGATGACTTCTTCTTAAGATATCGTATATTTAAAAACTGAGTTCTTTTTGAAGCTTTTTTTTCTTTACAGATATGTTATCTCAGAAGAGAAATATCTGTTTGAGCTGAAACTTTCAGGATAATATAACAGTTACTGTTTTTCAGGCGGAAACTTCTTGTTGCAATTTATACGCTCTAAATACAGTAAAATCACCATAATACTCGAGAAGAAAGGGCCTAATGGATTTTTATCTACACTAGGAGTCCAAACGGAGATTATCAATTGAATGGATTCCGTCACAAGTAATAACAAAGAAAAAAAATATATAACAATTTTTCCACAACATAAATTTTCAAACAAATTTTTACATGCAATTCATCATCAATCATGCAGAATTATATTAATTTAAAAAAAACATATTCACTTCAATATTCACAATATAATACATACAGTATACTTGAATTAGTATGAAAATATGATGACTGATGCAAGGAGGGGAGAAACTTCCATCACCGGGTATTAGTTAATTAGTTAAAAGTGAATCTATAACAAGCAGAGAGAAGGAGAAATGAGCAAAATAAAATTCAAACAAACTTGATATTGTATTTAGTTTGTCATATGTTTATCGATATTTATTTTATTTTTATAAAAATTCTTTTCATCTATATTCGAAATCGTGTTGTTTCTTTTTTTCTTATTAGTATGACAAATAAAAGTAAAACAACAAGGAAAAAAAAGTAGCTTTCTTTTGTTTCCATATTTTTTCTTCTTTTCTAAAGTTGATAACCATATTTTTGAAGTATGGCAAGATGTTTAGCAACTTGTGGTTTTGTTGCTAATTTTTCTTTAGCATTTGTTTTAAGTTTTTTCAATTGACATTGTCGTAAATGATAATGTTTAGCTTTAATTTTTCTTCTTTTTTCTAATGTTGCAACAACAGTTTGATATTGCCAACCAACTTCAGTTGATAAACGGCCAAGTTCAGTAAAACGACGACGTGGTTTTAAACGTAATGTACGTAAAGCACTTGGAACAAGTAAACGTTTTCTTTTATCATAAGGTGTTGGAATACCTTCATATGCACGTAAACGAACTAATGCTTGTTTACCACGTTCAGTTTTATGTGGTACCATACCACGTACAATACGTGTAAAGATTTTTGATGGTGCACGAAAATGAAAAGGACCACGTGATGGATTAATATTACATCGTTTACGAAGAAATTCCAAATATTTAAGTTTATTACGATAAAATGATCCACTTATATTAAGATCTTCACATCGTACAACAACAACATTATGACCTTGTAAAACTGTTTTAGCTACTAGTGCTGCTAAACGACCAATTAAATGACCACGACCATCAATTATTATCGGTTGAGCACGAAAACCAATTGGTTGCAACTAAAGTAAATATATAAATGTATAGAATAATATAAGTTTTGTTTTTGTTCGTATGAAGAACTTACAGCTTTCTTGCGTGCCTGAGCTGTTTTTGGCATATTTGATTTAATTTAAATGATCAAAAATGATATCTAAAAGAAAATACTTATGATTCTTATACATATTGAGATATTGCAAAGAAAATTAAATGGTATTCGTTTAATTGTTTAGCATGATGATATAAAAGTTAGTGGTTCATCTGCTAATATGATATAATGTTAGAA